GAAAGGGGAGGAGGATGGAGAGGGAGGATGTAGTTGTGTCAGGGGGATACCGAATGTTTCCCTTGAGCTCCTGGATCTCATTATGCAGCTTCCTCTTCTCATTTTCAGCTTTGAGGAATTTCCTGCGAAGGAGTGAGAGGGAGGGAGCAAGGGAGGGAGCAAGGGAGGGAGCAAGGGAGGGAGCAAGGGAGGGAGGGGAGAGCGGAGGGGAGGAGAGGTGAGAGGAAGGATACATGTTGAGCTCTGCAAAGTCCTTGCGCAACTTTTCCACGAGGGATCGCTGACGTAAATAGTTTTAGGAGAAGAAATTGTCGAAATCAAGCACAAGTGAGCAATCGTGAGCAAGGTGGATGATGATGACGATGATGACGATGATGATGATGATGATGATGATGATGATGATGATGATGATGATGATGATGATGATGATGATGATGATAAGGAGGAGGAGGAGGAGGAGGAGGAGGAGGAGGAGGAGGAGGAGGAGGAGGAGGAGGAGGATAACCTCAGCAAGCAGATCAGCTTCTGTCGCGTTCTTGGCCTGTTGCAGCCCCATGCTTTCAACCTGAAAATGAAGCAGGATGAGGAGGAGGCACAGACGGAGATAAAGGCATGCGTGTGAAGGGTGGGGAGCAAGGGAGGGTAGGGGAGGAAGGGGAGTAGGGAGACAGAGAGGGAGGTTACCTGGAGCTGACAGAGTCGTTCGATCTGTTCCATGTGAGGGAACTGCGACTGGAAGAGGATCAGGCAAGTAGAAGAGGAGGAACAGGAAGGATCACTACCTGCTGCTTGAAGACTGAGTACTCTGCCTGCGTCACGGCAAGCTTCTCTGAGATCTGGGCCTTCTCATCCACAACCTCCTGCAAGGAGCGATGAAGAGACAGCGAAGGAGGACAAGAGGAGCAGGTGAGGGGAGGAAGCGGGGGTGAGAACAAGCTAGAGGGAAACAAGTTGAATGGGAATGGCGAGGAAGGAAAGGGGGAGGGGAGGTAGGCAGGGGGAGGAAAAAATTGTGCGGAGGAAGAGGAGGAACCTTGAGTTGTGTGCGAATCAATTCGATCTCATTGAGTTTCTCCTTCATGTTGTCGGAAATTTGCTGGAGCTTGAGGAGCATCAGAGATGAGTCAGGTGGGAGGGAAGGACAGATGGAGGGAGGGAGGGAGGGAGGGAGGGAGGGAGGGAGGGAGGGAGGGAGGGAGGAGGGAGGGAGGGAGGAGGGAGGGAGGGAGGAGGGAGGGAGGGAGGAGGGAGGGAGGG